TCTGTCGCCATCTCCTTCAGCACTCAGATTTAGAATGTCAGGTCCTTGGGTCTTGCCAACTTTCAGCCCCATTAATTTGTCCAGGTCAACTTTCTTACTAATGTCAGTTTTCTTCAACTCTTCATACTCCCTAGCCACTTGAATCTCTAATTCTGGGAGATTTCTTGTATCTTCCTCAGGGAATACAGGAACAAATTAATCAGTACTTTCTACATTTCGCTATTCCTGCTCAAATTCTGTTGACTCTACCTGCAATTGACTCACATTTGTTTTCACCATATATTTCTTTTTCACATATCTGTAGAAGCTTTTACAGTCCATTTTTGTGTTTTATTTACTAGATTGCACTCATGTTATATTCTTCCTTTCCTTATCATTTCTTGATCCTCCTTCGATGTACTCTAAAAACGCCCCAATTCTCAGCTTTATTACTATTTCTGTCCATTTTATAATCCTTTTCCTTTAATCTTAAATAACCTTTAACTTCCTTTGGCAGCTATGGTTGACTGGCTGAGTCCTTGCATCTAGAAGGAATGTATAGCTGCTGTAAGCCATGTAACAATTCTTTAAAGATCATCCATTGCCTATTTACACTCATGCCATTTCGTATATTTTCCCTGAATACGCTTTAACCAATTCTTGCTTCATGACTTCATAATTTCTCTTATTTAAATTCAACACACTTGCTTCAAATTCAAAAATGTCAAATTCTATCACATAGTGGTCACTCATCCTTAAAGTCTCTTTTACAAGAAGATTGTTCATTGGCCCTTTTGCATTACATAATACTAGATCTAAAATAACCTGCCCTCTGGTCAGCTGTTCAATTTGCTGCTGTAAATTATCCCTAACTCACTCCCAAAACACATCCTCCACAACTTTAGTGCTCAGTTGGTTTACCCAGTCTACGTGTAGATTGGAGTCACCCATAATTAATTGTGTTTTCTGTTACACGTTTCTATCTCCTGATTAATACCATGCCCTACATTACCACTACTGTTTAGTGGCCTATAAATAACTCTTGCCAATCTCTGCTGTCTCAGTTTCTAAATTCCACCTAAACAGATTCAGCACATTGGAAAAACAATCGGAGATTCTCTCTTACTGATGTAAGCACCTCATTATTAGCACAGCTCCATGTCCTTTTCCTTCTAGTCTCTCCTTCCTAAACATCAAATATCCTGAATATTCAATTCCCAGGCTTGGTCACTATAGAGTCGTACAGCATGGAAACAGACCCTTCAGTCCAACCAGTCCATGCCAACCATGCTCCCAAACTAAACTAGTGGCCACCTGCCTGTGCCTGGCCTATATCCTTCCAAACATTTCTTATTTGCATACTTATCTAAATATCCTTTGAATGTTGTAACTGCATCCATCACTTTCCCCGGCAGTTCATTCCACACATGGATCATTCTGTGTAAAAAAACTTGCCCCTCATGTTGCTTTAAATCTTTCTCTTGTCATCTTAAAAATATATCACCTAGTCTTGAAATCCCCCACCCTAGGGAAAATACACCTCCCATTCACCTTATCTCTGGCCCTCATGATTTTATAAACCCCCAATAAGGTTACCCCCTCAACCTCCTACACTCCAGCGAAAAAAGTCAAAAAATTCAAAGCTTATTCCATGCTTGGCTTTGTTTCTCCCATTCTCCCTAGCAGCTTTTCTACTTCCTGTTACCATAAAACAGAGGAGCACATGCAGGCCATTCAGCCCATCGAGTTTTCTGTGTCATTCAATGAGATCACGGCTGATCCGACAATCCTCAACTGCACTTTCCTGCCTTCCCCTGCCCCCCTTAACCTCGATTCCTCTATTGACTAAAAAATCTGTCTTTCTCAGCCTTGAATGTACCTAATGATCAGCCGCTACAGCCCTCTGCAGAGAAAAATTCCACAGATTCACTTTCTGCACAGAAAAAAATCCTTTTCTCGGTCTTAAACCCACGACTCCTTATCCTGAGATAGGTCCTAGACTCTTCCCTAGGGAAAAGAAACCTCTCCAATCTCCCCTGTCAAGTCCCCTAATAATCTTATATGCTTCAGTAACGTCACCTTTCATTCTCCTATATCCAGAGAATACAGACCCAACCTACTCAGCATCTCCTCATAAGACAGTCCCTTCATACCTGGATCGGCTGAGTGAACCTTCTCTGGGCTGCCTCCAATGCCAGTCTAACTTTCCTTAGATAAGGAGACCAAAATTGTTCACAGTATTCCAGCTGTGGACTGACTAGTGCCTTGTATCGTTTTAACAAGACTTGCCTATTTTTATACTCCATTCCCTTCGAAATGAAGGTCAGCATTCCATTTGCCTTCCCTGTTATCCGCTGAACTTGAATGCTGGCTTGTTGTGATTCATGCACAAGAATCCCAAATACCTCTGTGCTGCAGCTTCTTGCAGCCTTTCCCTATTTAAATAACATCCAGCTCTTCTATTCTTCCTGACAAAGTGCATAACCTCATATTCTCAATTTCATTTCCTTTCAATTTGGTTTACTCCTCAAGTTCTCATCCCCTAACAAGTTATTCAAACCCATCCCAAAAGCACTAGCAAATCTCCCTGTGAGGATTAGCCCCAGTCCTGTTCAGATGTAACCCGTCCAGCTTGTACAGGTCTCAATGCCTCAGACATCTGATGCTGTCCCCACCTTCAGTTCTGTGGCCACGTATTTAATCTATTGATCTATGCCCCCTAGCTCATGGCACTGGCCATCTCCAATCCCTGAGCCTCACTCCTAGCCAAACTGTTTCAGTGCGGCTACGATATTGGCATCTACCCAACAATTGTTCATGTATGTTCTGTCTACAAACAACAGGGTAAATCTATTCCAGTCAATTAATGCCCATTAATCATTAGCCTAACCCTATTGCAATCTTACTCACAATTAGTAGCAAAGTGATGGAAGGGGTCATTCAACAGTGCTTTTAAGTGACACTCACTCAGCAACAACTGGTTTGTTGATGCTCAGTTTGATTCCTGCCCTGGGCTGCTCAGTTCCTGACCTCATTACAGCCTTGGAGCAAACATGGACAAGAAAGCTGAACTCTGGAAGCAAAACATAAGACCATAAGACATTATGGCAGAAATTAGGCCATTCAGCCCATCGAGTCTGCTCTGCTAGTCAATCATGGCTGATTAAAAAAAGTGTCTGCCTTTGATGTTAATGCAGCATTTGTCAGAGTGTGGCATTAAGGAGCCTGAATTAAGCTGGAGTCAAAGGGATTCAGATGAAGAAGTCTCCATTGGTTGCAGTCATACGTAATCTCCAGGACGTCTCTGCAAGAGTTTCTCAGGGTAACGTCCTAGCCCCAACCAGCTTCTTCAATGGCCTTCCCTCCATCATAAGGTCAGAAATGGGGATGTTTTCTGATGATTGCTTAATATTCAGCACCATTTGCGACTCCTCAGATACCAAAGCAGTCCATTTCCCAATGCGGCAAGATCTGGACAAAATCCAGGTTTAGAATATTAAGTAACAATAACATTTGAACTACTTAAGTGCCATACAATGCTCCATAAAACAAGAGACAATCTAACCATTTCTCTTGATATTCAATGGCATTACCTTCACTGAATTCCCCATGACCAACATCCTGGAGTTTACAACTGAACAGAAATGGAACTAGGCCAACTACATAAATACAGTGGCTACAACATTTTGCAGTGGGTAGCTCACCTCCTGAATTGTCAAAGCCTGCCCACCATCAACAAGGCACAGGTCATAGAGTCATAGAGACGTACAGCATGGAAACAAAACTCTTCGGTCCAACTCGTCCATGCCGACAAGATTTCCTAAATTAATCTAGTCCCATTTTCCAACATTTGGCCCATATCTCTCAAAACCCTTCCTATCCATGTACCCATCCTGATTCCTTTTAAATGTTGTTATTGTATCAGCCTCCATCACTTCCTCTGGCAGTTCGTCCCATACACACACCACCCACTGCATGAAAAGGTTGCCCCTTAGGTCTCTTTTAAATATTTCCCTTCTCACCTTAAACCTATGCCCCTCTAGTTTTGGACTCCCCTACCCCGGGGAAAAGACCTTGTCTATTTACCCTATTCATGCCCCTCATGATTTTATAAACCTCTATAAAGTCACCCCTCAGCCTCCGCGCTCCAGGCAAAATAGCCCCAGCCTATTCAGCCTCTCCCTATAACTCAAACCCTCCAACCCTAGCAAGATCCTTGTAAATCTTTTTTGAACCCTTTCAAGTTTCACAACATTCATTCTATAGCAGGGAGACCAGAAGATCATACTATTCCAATAGTGGCCTAACCTGTGCCTGTACAACCACAATATGATGTCCCAACTCCTATACACTATGTACTGACCAATAAAGTCAGGAGTGTAATGGAATACTCCCCACTTGCTTGGATGAGTGCAGCTCCATCACCGCTCAAAAAACCCAACTCTATCCTGGACAAAACAGCCCGATCTCCCTGCAAGGATATTCATCCCAATCCTGTTAAGATGTTACCTGTCCAGCTTGCACAAGCCTCACCTGCCCCAGATATCTGATGCTGTCCCCATTATGCCACTTCTCTATCACCTTTGACATTTGGTGCCCCTGCACTGAAACACTGAAGCTGCACTGTGTACTATCTACAAAGTGGACTGTTGTAACTCACCAAGGCACCTTCAGTAGCACCTTCCAAACTGGTGACATCTATTATCCAGAAGGACATGGAACACCACCACCTGCAAGTTCCCTTCAAGCTACTCACCATCCTGACTTGGAAATATATCACCGTTCCTTCAATGTTACTGGGTCAAAGTCCTGGGACATCCTAACAACACTGTGGGTGCTCCTTCTCACCAAGGACTACAGAGGCTGAAGGTGGCACCTTCTCTGGGGCAATTAGGGAAGGACAATAAACACTGGTTTAGCGAGCAACACCAACATCCTATGAATAAAAAAAAAAGAGTCAACTCCTGAATTCTTTAATTACAATTTTTATTTACTTTCAAATACAACTAAAATATCAGGATCCAAAACCGGTGTCAATCCTGCGAGACAGCAGGTCTAATTCTCTCTAAGATGATAAGTAATAGATAGACACAAGAACAGGCCAGCTAGCTTCACTGAGGCTGACAGGACTGCATCATTCTTGCCTGCAAGTTCAAACAGAGGTAATATTTAGCTCGAAATTCAGCTACTCCTCTCTTCCTCACTTCCCCCACCCAGATACTGGCTTAGGCACAGAGCAATTGGCCACTTCCTGAGAATGAGCTAAAAACGTAAACTTGTAAGGATATGCCTGAGCTAGCGGTGAATTGTTATATAGAGTCTATTCAAGGAATATTACATCATATGTACCTCTCTGCTCCTGGTGGATCTCTCCATCGTACTGTGCAGTGCTGACAGCTCGCCTCTGCTCTGGGCTCAGCTTCTCATACTGTTTGCTGGTTACAGCAGAGGCCTGGGCACTGCTGAGAGACGACAGCTGATCGGCGTTGAATACAACCTACCGGGAAAGAGACAACTGAGAAACCTTTTGTGCATTATCACCAGGCAGGGTGTGGGAGGGGACTGTCAACTTGGAATTTGAATCTTACAATCATTCAGCACAGAAAGAGACCATTCAGCCCACATTGCCAATGCTGGCCTTTTAGCAGATCTATCCAGGTTTTTCATTACCTATACCTACTTCTAGCTCTACTGCTGTGCATATTCTCCCCTCTCTAGAATTCATACAACTTCTATTTGGAAATTACTAATGAATCTGCTTTCACTGCCTTTTCAGGAAGTGCATTGCAGAATGCAGCACTTGTGTCTAGATGAAAGAATCACCTTCATCTCCTCCTTTGAATCTTTTGCAAGTTACCAATGAATGCTCGGCCATTTCAGAAAAAGATGAGGAATTTATTCTCTCCAAGGAATGAGAATCTTTAGAATTCCCCACCCGAGAGAGCTGTGAAGCTCTGTTATTGAGTGCAATCAAGGCAGATGTTAAGAGGAATGTTGGATGTCAATGGAATCGGGTGATACACTGATAGGAAAGGAAACGACTGAGTTACTGAAAACAAACGCTGGCAATCCCAGTGGGTCAGACAGCATCCATGGAGAGAAAGCAAGCTAATGTTTCGAGTCTAGATGACTTTTCATCAGAGGTCAACGACTCAGTTAGATTGGCCATGACCTTCTGGAATAGTTCAGACACCACACTGAGTGCTCTCAACATTTTTGTTCACGCACAGTATCACTTAAAAAATGTCTTCAGTTTGTTATCACATTGTAGGATCTTGCCATGTGCTACATTGACTATTGTGTTTCCTACAATGCAACAGCAACTACTCTTCAAAAGGACTTCATTGGCCGTAAAGCAATTTGAGATATCAAATAACAAGGGGCAAAGTAAATGCAAGTTTCCTCTTTTGTTCTCCGTACCCAATGCTATCCGCAATGAAAACAGAGTTTAGCGTCTGAAGGCTTACTGCAAATTTGCTCGGGACGATGAGGGAGATGGCTGAAGGCGTGAGCCCTTCAATCTGTTGCTCCACAAGCGATGACAACGTGACGTCAGGTAGTCCAGCTGCGAGAGAAAATGATCCAATGAGTTTACTCAGACACTGCATAGTATCATCCACCACACAGCCTGTGAGCTGGGCTCACAACAAAGGACATTGTAAACCAGATTAGCTGCCCGTGTGTGTGTGCGTGCCTGTGTGTGTGTGTGTGTGTGTGTGTGTGAGTGAGAGAGAGAGAGAGAGAGAGAGAGAGAGAGTGTGTGCGTGTGCTTGCTGCGCACCATAAGCCATCAGAAATAGGAATAGGAATAGGCTATTCTGCCCTTTGAGCCTGCTCAGTCATTCAACAGGATTGCAGCTGATCTGACATTCTCCGCACCCACTTTCCTTTCCCCATAATCCTTGATTCCCCAACTGATCGAGAATCTAAGACAACAAGGTGCAGGGCTGGATGAACACAGCAGGCCAAGCAGCAT